CACTAAGCGACAATCGCAATGCTTGTTTTTCTAACTAGCATTGTTTGCTCTCAGCAGCATGATGCGGGCGGCGAATCATGCAAAAAGAAGTGGCTGAAATTATTCACTCTAACCTATGAGCACCTTCGTACTGAGATCGAATCTGACCTAAAACAGTGCTTACCCATGTGAACATTTTCTTATATTGGATAAACTGGCATAGCCTGGTTCTTGAGGTTTGCTCTTGACAAAATGCCGGTCAATTTAATTTGCAAATAAGCATCATCCTCGCTAATTGATGATTTTTGTAAAATAGAACAAAGTGGAATTTCATGCTCTACTCAATTCGGAAGCTACTTAATTGGACACTTTCTGAGAGTTTAAGTGTGCAATCGTCATAGTTCCACCATTCGTTCCAGTAAAAAAAGGCGATAATAAAAACACATAAAAAACGCAATAATAAACTTCTATATATTTGAGAAGTTATATATGCGTGAGGAACACATATAGTTATTTAAATTAGCTTCAAAATAAAAAAAAACATTATTTAAAGCTTTTTCAAATCACCTATAACGTGTCTATTGAGGATAAAAGCGCCGGAAAAGATTCGCAGAACATCTTTCAGATAATTTAAAGGTTCATTTACTTATATATTTTTGAGGTGACGATCTTCTATTTATGCTGCCAAATCTTCAGACAGGAATTAAGTATATTTTTATTATCATCGATAAATTGGACTTTATGATTTTCACATAACCGCCTGAGGGCGACACGGAAGGACGATACTCGAAAATACACCAGCTGTTGAGTCTTCGGAAACGTGCTTTTGTTAGCTGTTTTGCAGTGTAAAATACTGGGTTGCAGGGTATGCAAAAAACACTGTGGTCACATGATATATCTGAAGGCAAATACACGAAATGTGCAGAAATAAGGAGATGACACGCAATTTTTTCTAAATAATCCCTTACACAACGCTTTACTGCAAAAAGAGATGCATAGAAATGCATAAAATGATATTCCTAATTAAACATAGATTCCGCGCAGGGCAAACGAAGATTTTTAGAATCCTAATATAAATCACTTTTGGGCATCAGCTTGCCTCAGCTCGAAACGTCGCGAGATACTACCTCGGGAGGCTAATGTTATCTTAGGTTTTACGTACACTTGTTTTGGGACTTTACTTCACGACTCTGTTCTTTATCAGTCATGTGCTGCAACATTTCATTAGGCTGCGTATATCATCGTTTGGGAGCCTCAATGGTGTGCATACATGTAAAATGGGTCGTGCAGCATTTTTTTTTACCTGAAGTTCAATAAATACCGCTAAGTTGTAATCCCTGACGTTTATAACTTGCAAAAGCATCCATTAGTTTGCCCCTCCGCGAAATGGCAGATGCAGTCAAAAGAAAGAAATGTAACAGCTTTCCCTCCTCAACTCGCAATTAGAACTATCAGCCACGTGATCTGATCCTAATATATGCACCGTCAATGTTTATCATAGTCCTACGCAGGGTTGGCAAAGCAGAGAGCATGGGCTAATCTTCAGGTATAGTTTTAGTTCGGCTATAATGGGGCCGGAGCCCCACTAAAGCGACAAACAGAAACAAACGACAGCGGCTAGCCTTAAACCAGAGAATTTCGCGATTTGACAGGCTTTGTAGAATAACGAAGGCTATGCCAAAACACGAGTATCCTTCGCACTATGGTACCATTTGCAGGCTTGTAAACACTCGTGCAAACTTCGCGAGCACCGAACAACTCAAAGCCGTATAAAGGTACCATCGCGAACATGCTGCATGTGTCTGAGGCTTGTCGCTTTCGTTTGTTTCTGTTTCTAGCTCTTGTGGGACTCGGGCCCATCATAATTTTTGAGTTGAACCCGAGCCGTTACCCGAATGTTTGGCGATACTGGTTGTCATGAACCAGGGCATTCGACTCGGGATCATGACAATCGAGTACATCATGGTGTCACGTGACTCTCAGTGCGAAGTTGTGATGTCATGTGACGTCACGGTATCAACAACGTTAATAGATCTAGCGACGTTCTCAATTTGAATCGACTTAACGCGATGAGTCACGTGACGTCGCAGGGTCACGTGATGTGACATTACTTGACAGCATGTCTTAACATCATGACGTCACGTGACGATGTGACACGTGGCTAGTCATAGTGCCAATAAGAAAGCGCCGCAAAAAACCAGGATTTATTATACATTGCAATTCTGTATATGACGATTTGATCAATACGTAGAGGAATACACGTGCCAATTTTTTATTCCCAAATAATAAATTTGTAATACTAACAAAAAAAAATACCGTGAACCGTTTCGAACCGGTTACCGTTATATTTTTTCCGGTTCAGTTCCGGTTCAGTTCCAAGATGGCGGCGAAGATTTCGGTTCGGTTCAGTTCCGGTTCGGCTAAAAATAACGGTTCTGTTCCGGTTTTCGGTTCGGTTCGGTTCCGGTTCGACACCCTGCGTATAGGCATTATGCATTTTGGCCTCAATATACCAGGCTGAGTTCTGTCGCAATTTCAGTTTAACCAAGTGAGTGTGGCTCAGAAGAGCGAGAGAGAGAAAAATAAAAGCTCTGTGGCAGCACTATCAAAGTTCAGTCTTCAGAAGGAGTTTTGCTGCACAGAAGCGCTGGCAGGGTTACTTTACGGTAACAGGTCTCACAAAATAGCATGACCAGTTGCACCGGCGGGGCTTATTACATAGCGAGTCTGTCTGCTCCGTGGAACTGTGCAAGTGGCTATACAAAACTCCACATGCTTTATATAAATGCAGTTTTAGGCTATATAACCATTTTACACAGAAGTTCAAAGAATGTGAAAGAATTCATACTTGTTAGAGATCCATGTAAGGTCCACATTTTTCCAATGCTAAACGATTGTGATATCCATCCCCGAGATATCTATCCACCAGTCACCCACCTGCAGTACACTCCGACACATTTTCTCATGAGATCTCTGGACGTAAGCTACTGTTGTCCCAAATAAAGGCTAGTTTCGAAGAGCATATGCGGGAAGTGAGCTTGTCTGCTAGTTATGCAGAGCAGACAGTCGTGTGACGTCAGGCCGAGCTCCTGGGAGGATAGGGCAAACAATGTCCGCTCTCCAGCAGGTCTTTTATTACAGCTTCTTTGCCTTTTCTGCAGTTGTTGGAAGTTTACTGCCACCTCAGGGGCGAGGTGATGTTGGGTGAGGATGCGGCATACAGAAAAGAGAAGCGGAAATACCCAGAAGGGTACATTCTTTCACTTGATGGGAAGGTATTCACCTTGAGATAACAGATCCAAGCCTCGGCCACCATGATTCATGGCCAGAGACGACGGACCCTGTGGTAGGCCAGAGACGATATATAGGTGCCATGAAGCTCATCTTTCTCCTCCACGCATGTTCTCTCATTATTATTATTTAAGTTTTATTATCTAATGCCCCACACAACCAATAGGTCTTGGTGTAGAGGCACAAAGAAAAAATTGAAAAACACAATCAAAACTACCTGTCCACTTGCACAGAGTATGTCCACACCTGAGCATCGTACCGGCTGCGCTCGTGTAATCACATACTGGTGATGCACGTTAAAGACCCCAGGATCGCAATTGTACCGCACTGGCCAAATTGCCCATCTACAGCATGAGACATGTATTAAGATGGCTGACCAACATAACGCTGTTGGTCAGCCATGCCCTCAACAGAGGGCCCTTAAGGATTAATAAATTAATGAAAAGATCCAGGTCCATTCCACGTTTGAATACAATGAAACGTGATCAAACAGGCGTGACGGACAATGACGAAGGACAGAACACAAACATGCTTTGCCCTTGTCCGTCACACCTGTTTAATCATGCTTCACTTGTACGAACTAGCATAGCGCACCACTTTGCATGAATATAACGAGATCAGAAAGCACATCAGTAGCAGGGGATAATCTGTTAACACAAATTTGCATTCGAACAACCGGAGACAATTTCACATCAGTAGAAAGTAAAACACATAACGGCCCCTAAAATCAGAAGGCAATGCATGAAAATTAAGAAATTATGCAAAATCACCATCCAGAAGGCCATGAATGGTTCTACATAAAAATAATGCATTGTAAGCAATTCTTTTTTATAGGTTCTGCAGGGAAAGTATTTTAAGGATGTATTTATACTCATAAGTACATAGGCTTCCAAAGTACTCATCATAAATAATATGAATAGGTCGCTTTTGTGCCTTTTTCTATGTGTCATGTCAAATCTAATCGAATTCCAAGCCACAGTACAAGACTTAAGTTGAACTTAAACTAAGGAACAAACTAGCCTAACAGCACATGCAGGATTAGCACCATCCAACGGGCTTGTGATTGGCCCCCTTGGCCTGTAGCTTCATTGCTTAGTCCAGCTTAGGGCGAGACAGAGTATAGAAGTTCACACAGGGCACAAAATACACCTGGAGATGCTCCAAGAGTCGACTGATGCCTGACAGTGCCGCTGCACATGACACTTCACCGTCAGCTCAAACACTGGCAACCACTCGCAGGTCGCCTGCTTGATGCCCTGTACAATGGGCTTGGCAGGCTTCATGAACAGCTTGAAAGGACCTTGAGTGACGATTGGTAGCACTGCTGCACACAACACTCCACTGTCAGTTCAAATGCTCGCAGAAACGCACAGTTTGAAGGGTTGGCACCTTGCATGCTGCACTTGGAAGATTCCTTGCACAGTTCAGAAGAGCTCTGACGGACGCCTGGCAGCATTGTTGCACACAACACCGCACTGTCAGCTCGAATGCCAGCAGCAATGCACAGCTCATCTGCTTGAGGCCTTCCACACAGCATTTGGGAAAGCTCTGTCAGCTCAAAAGAGTCCTGATCAACATCCGGCAATTTTGTTGCCCACAAAACATAACTGTCAGCTTAACTGCTGACACTAGCGCACAGTTCAATTGCCAGAGGCCTTTCAGAATGCAGCCTGTAGAGGTTGGAAATCATACGAGGGCCTCAAAGAAGCTACAAAAGCTATGTTAAAGGCCTACAGCAGATGTAGAAGTGGAAGGATGACATGTTTGCTTTTGTAGTCCAGTCTGAGGTATTGAACAGCGGTGTCAAGTTCGGAAATGTTGTACATTTTAGTCACGTGCGTGAGGGAATCGCACTGCCAGATGCCGATGGCGGACGACTTGATCGGCAGTTCAAAAAAATCTGTCATGTTTGGCAGAATGCTTGCCTTGAACCTGTCTTCAAGGAGCTTCAAGACGACAACTGCAGACTCGTTCAGCATGAAGCACTGACCTGCTTTGACAATGCGTTTCGGTTCCGAAATCTCAGGTTGATACAAATGTCTGACTTCAGACATTCGTCTGCTCATCTGCGCTAAAGGCTTGCTTGTTGAACGTAGCATTTTCTTAACCTTACCCAGGAAACTTTCAAAAGGAAACGCACTAAAACTGTCAAGAGGGCCATGGTCCAAACACTGCTCAGCCAGATGGCTGAGCGTGTGCACGTTGTAAACGAGCTGCTTGGCCCCATACAAGGTGCCAAACTCCTGCACAAAGTACCTAAGAAGGTCCCTGGCAAATCCGTTATAAACCTCGTAATGTGCAGGAGATACAAGAATTCTCACTGCCACATGCAGCATTAAAAAGTGACGGTACTGATCGTTTGGCAACACATGCTTCAAAACCACAGGTCCCACATACAAGAGGAAGCTTCGAAACTCTGTGGCCTTCCACCGGTCAAGTTCCTCAGTGCCTCTTGGCTTCCTTCGAAAGTTGCTGGGGAAACGCTTACTGCAACTTCGAAGTAAATCATTCAAATTTTCACGCTGCTGTCGACTTAGGCGTCTCCCGAACCCTTGGCTAACCCAGTTTCTCAGAAGGCGCCGCATAACGCCAAGACAGACGAGATGCATGTACTCCGTAGGAAACCATGACACCATGTCGACATCTAAAGATTCAAATGGCGACGTTCCCGTGTGATGGTGCTCGTCTTCCTGAGACCGGAACGACTCGTTGGTGCGTTGTGGTGAGTGTAAATCAGGAAATGTCATTCGACCCTCGAGATGCAGGCCCCTCTGACTGCACCGTTCGCAGGCGTGATAGCCAGTGTGCCCAACTATTTGCTTGATAAAGCTTCTTGCGGGTGCGTCGCACACCATGGCCGTGATGCTGACAGTGATGTGGCTCCCCTTGAAGACCATGCCATGCACTGTGAGCTTGCGGGCTTCTTCAAGGAATGCGTACAGGTACTGCTCCAGATTTGGGGGCTTTCCTGTGCCGCAGTATAAACTGACCATAAAAGGTGACGGCAGAGGGGTCAAATTCGTTATCCGGCATAATAAGGGCCAGAAGCTCACCTGTGAGCTTTTGAACAGGGGCAGACCGTCAATGTTCCCTTGGAGCTTAATCTCCTTAGGAATGGGGCAGCCTTGCAATGACTGACGGATGCCTTCTTCTAAGCCGAAATGCACAAACTTGTCACATTGCTCTAGTCGGGACTTCCGTTCTGTGCACAACACAGTCCGCGCGTCTTTGGGTAGTCCGGCAATGCCTCGACGCCGACAAAAGGCAAGAACATCGTTCAGACATACGTGGCTCATGTTGTGCTTCCCAGCAATACTTGCGAGCTCGTCGCATGCCGAGAGTTCATGCGGCTGGGATGACGACGTAGTGACAGCGTTCGGATTCGCGCTGCCGTTTGGTGGCTCCGAGTTATGGTCAGCGCTTTCCTCTGACTGGTACTCATCGCTCGTATCGTCTTCCGACGAATCGTCTTCCGACGAATCGTCTTCCGACGAATCATTTTCTGAAGAACTCGCCAGCACGTCAGATCTCGAGACTTCAAAGCTCGCCGACTGCACCTGGACTTCCAAGTCACCCGAACAGCCAGCTTCACTGGACTGGAAAACGCCTCCGGCTGCAGGTTTATCAGAGCGCGCAACATCGCTGGAAACGGCATTGCCCGTCAAACCGCCTTCCGTTCTCGGCTTCTTGCAGCTTGCAGCTTGAAGATCCGCCATGAGCTGCTCATGGTCCTTCTTGAGCTTCCGGTACTTACGCCACTTGTTCATTATCAGGAAGTAGCGCACCAAATGCAGTCTTTAACACGGCGAAATACGAGCCACAACAGAACAGAGGCGCAGACCACTGTGGTGCAGACGCAAGTTGTTGCCAGATGGTCCCAACAAAAAACCGCCAAACGCCTGGGTGGTATAGCCCAAATATAGCCAAAACTAAAAACAATGGTTTTTAAGCCTTTTTTGACAATTTTTCACACACATACAAGACACGTTACATTATCTTTTTCAAGCCCCAGATGCGCCACATTTTGTGCACATTATGTCACTTGCGAATTTAAAAAAAAAAAAAAAACACTTCGGAAGGAAGAAAACAAAACTGTCACCTCCTTCGCAGGTCTTCAGAAGTACAAAACACACAAAGACAGTTTTATCGTGAGGCCCGGGATATGATCATTACAGTAAACGAACAGAATACAGAAGCAGAACGGTAACACTTGGTGTTTCAAACAGGGATCACAATATCTAAGGTCCTTACCAATATCCTACCCGTCTCTTTTTCTTTGTGTAGAATATGAGTGTTCCCCATTTCGGTTCACGCTATTTCTGATTGTGTTGTCCTTTCTTGGGGTGGGCGAAGACTGGAAGGTAGTCAATTGTTCAGCGGTGAAACTGCGGACTTTATATTTACGAACTTGGGTGCCTAAGGATTCGCTCAATGGGCACCAAAGCACGCTTGAACTTTGCAGAGTTTAGTAGAGTTTAGCAGGGTAGAGGACGCCCTACCACTGTTTGGTTTGCTTCACCGCGCACTGTGGAGACCGCTTGAACTGTGCAAGCATTGCTTCTGTGCGCATTGTCAAAACGACGAAGTTTGTAGAAGTTAAAAGCCGTTCTCTTTCCTCTCTCTTCTATCGAATGGCCAAAAGAGATACAATATTTTTCGAAGCTGATAAGAAGTTCAAAAATTAACTAGTCAAACCTCAAAGTTCCACGTCGAAACTGAGGTTTCGACAAAAGTTCGCCGCATCCTTAGAAGTAGCCCAAAAATAGCCATATAGAACAGTCACCGCAGCCGCCGCAGCTAGAGCACTATATAGCTCCTACGGAGCAGAGTAGCGCAATCCTTTGAACCCCGTGTTTTGCCGACAACATGGCCGACAGAGCGGCTCGGCGCGAGTCACGTGGTACTCAGGGTTCCAGGAGGCGGCCCGCCCTATGGGAGAATACATGGAGATCGACATAACACGGCTGATTAAAAAAAGTAACGGCGAGTTCACATTTTTCAAAACTAGCCTGTCGTGAAGTTAGTAAAGCGCTAAACACTTTACCAAAGTTTTAATAATATCGGATGCGTGTGCAAATTTTGAGAAGGCAATTTCCAAGGCAATGGTGTTTGAAGCAGACGATTTTTGCTCGCAGCGGAGATGGGCTTTTCGGGTTGGCCGGAGCGGGTCACGTGAATGTTGTGACGTCGCCGTGTCGTCTGCTGCATGATGCCGCTCAGGCAATTTTTTAAAAAAAGTTACGTCCTTGTATGGCACAAAACTTATCGCATATTATTCTAAAATGTTTAATTATTATGTCAAAAATGATTTCCATTCTGCACATTCCCACAAAACTGAAGAAACAACGATTTTCTCACGTTCTCCATGCATTTCTGACCGCAGTTGGAACCTCCGGGCGTTCGCCACTAGTCGCCGAGAGACGGCGTTCTAGATTGCGCTACTCTGCTCCGAAGGAGCTATATCACAGCTATATAGTGCTCTAGCCGCAGCCACGCACACACTGGATATAGCGCTACATTGGTCGGCCATCTTTGTGTGGCGTGTGCTGGCGTGGTGCACCCACAAAGGACTACAACTTCCAGGATGCACCGCGGCCGTCGTGGGATCGGTCCATTGTGACATCTCGATGATAGCGTCACTTGCATCTGTTAGTATGTTTTGCCGATACTTTTTAACCAACCGCCAGGATCGGGCTTTCCGACAGCATGACAAACGTGACGTGGTCGGGTTTCCGCATCGCGAGCAACTTGATACATGGGAACTATAGGACAGTAAACGCGCCAGTAGAAGACGCGTTTCAGGCATCACAGTTCCCACCACGCAAAGGCCTTGTCCTTTGTCCCTCTTGTTCCCCTTCTTTAGGGATTATTTTCGTCATTCTTGTCCAGCTCGCTTGCACCTTTGCATTTAATAGCAATTTAATCGTAAGTCTGAAGAAGAGGTCTCTTAGCGGAACGTCGGCCACATTGTGAGGCTTCCAGGAGACTTTCATTTAAGTACGCAGAGGTTCGGCCATCAAATTTGAGTCTACAACAAAGGTGTGCTGCGAACATAATAACGTATTTCGTGCACCATGCCGTAGAAGGACCAGGCGACAGAGCCCCACAGTGCCATGGCCACAAGTTTATTTTGAGTAAAAAGAACAGGAAGCATCTGTGGGCAGAAAAGCACACACAGGAGAGCGCTCTTTTCATATGCGGGATTACCGCGCATGGGGCAGAAAGAGCAAGGTAATCCCACGAACTACCCGAAGGCGAACGACGTGACACATTGAGGCAAGTTGCAGCCCAACGAAAAGACATGCAGGATGCGGCCAATGTCCATGTGACCGAGGTGGGCCCATTTATGCTCATTGCTGCCCCTATGTTCGAAGAATTACTCGCGCCATCAGAGGTCACGAGGAGCGGTACGGAAGGGAGCTGATATTTTTGAATGCAACAAGTTACTGAAAATGTCGTAACCCCTGCCCTCGCCCTCCCAGAAAAAGACCGCTTCTTCCTGAAGAAGGAATTGTAAGTACCGTAGCCAAGCCGGATTTCGACACCCAGCCGGCCCCTCCAAAATTTGTTCCCCATAACGCGGATCCCAAAAGGCCCAAAAACTGATTGGCGTTCACTCTGTTAGACATATGCCTAAATGTAGTCCATGCGGCATTGTATACGGGTCCCATGTCAACCACCGTTATTAGATCTAATAACGGTGATGTCAACGAGCCCCTCTACCTCGTTGGCCCATATATGTAAAAAAAGTACATTTGGAAGCACGTAATTTTGCGTGATTTAGCGGTCTCGCTTCACAAGAAATACATGTTAAAAATTTCGGTTACTCGTACAACAACTAGCGCACTGCTTGTTTTAGAACTTCCATCTTAAACCGGAGACACGGCAAAATAAAAAAAAAAAAACGGACAACACAACAACAGTTGTTGTGTTGTCCGTTTTTTTTTTATTTTGCCGTGTCTCCGGTTTAAGATGGAAGTACTTCACCAGCTCGCCTGTGCGTTTACCCTTTCTAACTAAAGAGTGCAAAATACTGTATAAACAGTTCATAGAGGGCGCGCTAAAACTTTTAGATTACGTTAGGCTTGATGACTTCATAGAACTACGTCTATTCATGCCTTGTTCTTTGCTTTTATCAGCCACCTTCCCAGTATATCCGGTCACAGCGCATCCGGTCTCGGCCTCGTGGCTCGTTTCATTAGGGCTAGTTTCATTGTGTCGTGTTGTGCTGGAAGCTACTCGGCCCACTGTGACTCGGCCGATCATCGGTGTGCTTTTCCTCTCGACCTGTGACCTGTGTCGAAGTCTTCTGGAACATTTGGCTGCGAAGAGACGGCTTGTTTGCGTAAGTATAATGTCCTCTAATGTCCTAATAGCGGTGTACAACGTTGATATCGGAGATGCTGTTCCGGACACGACGGCGCTCGTCCGATAGGACTTTTGCTTTTAATGGATCATCACCGATTACCAATCTCTAATCTTTGCGTTTGCATTACAACACACTTCTGTTTTCATCAGTGCTGTCCCGGGTGAGATGGACTGCGGCCGAGACATGTTTCGAGGAACAAGTAGTATTGACCTCGAATCGTCGGTCCGAGCAATGGACGGGGTTAGAGGACCGGTTTTGTTCGATTTGGTTCAACTAATTCTAGCAGGTACAAAACGAGCTTCCTTTAGGAACCTTGACGGGCTCCGGTTAGTTCATATCGGAGAACCCCCCCCCCCCCCCCCCCCCTAGCCCCTAGCCCCTAGCCCCGCGGCATCTCCAGTAATCTCGGGGGCGGCCTGGCAACCAGCGCGGAGGCGGTGGATGTCGGATTTGTAGCGTCTGCTTATCATTCTTTTGCCTTGT